CAGATAAGCACATTTCTGATCTGCAAACACCTGGAACTCCAGACAAAAGACATTCTCCAACCCAAGAACCAAGTGTACCAATATCTACAGTGCATTGCATACACACAGCACACAGGATAAAAAGGATGCTCCTCTCCCAATATTTCCACATTTTTCCTTTGCATTTTAAATGCTCATACTCTTTAATTTTCTCTCTAAGTGCAAGCTTGTGTCATGAAAGCACCGAGCATCAGCATCTCCTCACCGCTGTTCCTGGGCAGCAACATGCACTGAATCCATGATGAGACGAACATCCTCTGCGATCTGCTTTGCTCTCACTGTATGCTGCTCAAATTTTGTTTTCACTGCTGACTGGGAGATACATTCCTGTACACAACAGGCAGCCAAGATTAGCAGCAGGCAGAAATACACTAACACAACTTGTCTATTTCCTAAGTGTGCTGCCACTCCATGTACATAAGCTCCACTCCCCGGCCTTTCAGGAGTAAGATGGGAGGCTTCAGGACTAAATGGGATGCTACAACACTTAACACTCACCTCAAATCTTCTCTCAAAGTTTTGAAACTCAAACATTCTCACTTGAAAACCATCTGCCAATGCTCCACCTGAGAGTAGGAAGGTACAAAACAACCAATTAGGTTTTCAGAAAGCATTCAGATGTTGGACATTAGGATATACTCCTGCTTTACCCTGAAGCCAATGCAGAAAAAGCAGCCAATTCATTCTCTTTTATTTTGTCTGCTCTCTTAAGAATTTGATATTTTTAATAAATTCAGTTTTGCCTATTTGTGAAACAAGATATTCTCTTATTTCCTTTGCTATAAGAAAGGCTCTGTTAGCTTTCCTCACCTCCTTCTGGCATCCCTTGAGCCCTCTGAATCCTGGCATTCAGCACTTCTTTTGCTGACACAAAGAAGATTCGATCCCCTGCCTGTGCTCGATCCACCACACCCAGCTCATCTACCAGGAAACTGGTGCAGCGCTCCATGTGCTGCCGACGCACCTGAGGGACAAACAGGAACACCTCCACGTGCAGTTACAGCCACTTTAAGCTCCATCTCAAAAATCAGATCAGGCACTCAGATGCCCTCTGCTGGTCTAAGCTACTAATATGAAAGAATAAGAAAACAACCTTGCAGTCTATAAAATCTTCCAGAAGTCATCCAAGTCACCTAACTTACAAACTGCCCGGTGAAGTTCTTATTTCCACTTTAGAAATCTCCAGAGCCATGCTGTGATCACTAGCCTATCCTCCCTCTAGTTTCCACACTACAATAATAAAAAAAACAATAATATCTAACACTTTATGGTTCTACACACAAGGACAAGAGTCAAAATGGTTTCTATATGGACTCCAGGCAAAGAGAAGGAATTTAAATCACAAACCTCTTCCATGTACTCTGGTTCAGAGGCAGATGCATCCCAGCGGTTATTTAAAATAAATATATTGGGTCGAGACAGACGTTCGTTCACCTTGTGAAAGAACTGTTTCTCCTGTGCAAAATGGAACACAATCTCTTAAATTAATTTGTCAACACGTTTCAACTTCCAGCCAAATTCACTGCCCACTATCAAGTGAACTTGAACATACAGTTTGCATCAACGTTGATTCCGAATTTGCCACCAGAACAAATACATCAGCATCTAGACAGAACTTGTCGATCCAACTGTCCAGCTCTGTGGTTACATCAATGCCAGGGCTAAGAGCAGAAAGAGAAGAAACAACGTTATTTTGGTGAAATTTCAAAAACATGTTTTAAAAAGTTCATACAAGACTTGTTTCAGCTATACAGGGCATTATTTTCTGTGTTAGAGCCACACTGCTTTGAGGTTTTAGTTTGCAGACTGCAAACTAAAAAGGACAAATCAAGATAAACTGTGGCTGTTAACTGCAGGAAAGGACTTTGGTCACTGTCTCAGATTAAAACAACATTGACGTCTGCTAAATTTATATTTGAATACAAAGAAATGTGTGGTAAAGAGAAAAAGAAAGACAGATATTGTCACCTGTCCATGAGCACCAGGTCATCCTTTAAGAGAGGACATTTGGAATTGGGCCACATCACGCTGACTAGGCTGCCAGCATTCAGAAGCTCATCTTGATGGAGGGCATGAGCCAGCTGGTTTACTGTCTAAAAATGAAAGTTTTATATATCTATAACATTTCCCATATGCTAAGACAATTATCTCCCCCCAAAATTGGTCACAGACAGTTTAAGATAAAACCCAACTTGGAATTATCTCCCAAGAGTTTTCCCACACCACGTGTTTCCCCAGCCAGAAGACAACCACCCAAAAAGCGTCTATAAGAATAAGGCTGAGGAACTATCAGGAAGACTGTAACTTTGGTCAGCCATCCAGAGCTGAACTTCCTGAGGCATCATTCCAACTCCCTATTAGCACAATCACAACATATCATCTTCCACATACAATGAAGTCTCATGCCATAGCTTGCTTCACTCCTCCCTTCCTACACTCATTGAAAACCTGCTGTTGATCTCTGCTCCTTCAATGAATATAACCCTGAACTGTTAAAAGTCTATTCACAGTGCTTTCATTTTCCTTTTCTGGTACTGGAACACAGCTCTTCTCCTATACCTTATGCTTAAGGAAATTGTACCTTAACACTCTTCTTTTCCTCTGAGCCTTCAGTAAGTAGGAAAGCTTCATGACCATCGGTCCCTTCTACACGCAGGAAACAATTAGTGGTGTGTCCAATTCCTGAAGGAAGGACTTTGTCCCATAGCATGGCATTTATCACAGTGCTTTTTCCATTGCTTGTCCTGAAGCAAGATTAAAGAATAGCATAGCTGGGCTCCTGAGCTATTTAGGTACTTTTTTGATGTTACAAACAATAAGCCATCTAAATCAAAGCAGCTCCAGAAGTATTAACAACTTAAAAAAAAATTCCATTTTTTCTTTTAAAACTTCTTCCAAAAGTCTATGTTCTACAATATTTAAGTCCCATTTACACAAGTACTGGCACTAGGGACATCTGCCACACGTTGCATGCAGAAGCTGGAGCACTAATGCTTCTATAAATACTTTTTACTGGCTATGATCCTAAAGATGCAAGTTTCTCTACCAAGTAGGGAGTGTAGCCAATGTAAGCACGTGACTTACCTTCCAAAAAAAGCCACTTTCATGTGTCGCCTTGCCAGCACCTCACTAATGCCACTGACTTTTGACAAGTAGCCTTTGACTTCCAGTACCTGCTCTTCTGTGGTGACAGGATCAAGCTCTGCATTCTTGTGTGTTTCTAAAAATCAAAATACATCATGCCTCTGAATCCCTGAAGCGATCTGCCTCAGTACTAGGTGAAACATCTCCCCACAATTTAACACACACAACCAAATGCTTATCTGTATCCCAAAGTTCAGACAGGTCATGCTGAAGTATGCAGTTACACCCACCAGCATTTATTTGCCAGTCTCCTTCCTGTACCTAATAACCATTCTTATCCTCAGGACTGCTTTAAGCAGAACGCATCCAACACTTCAAACATTCCAGCACCCTTAAAAAGCTTCTCTCTGCATCGTAAGCTGTAAAGCCAATTACTGTATATGTTCCATGTCACTGGCAATGACGTGTCTAGGCAAGAATACTGAAAGGACTATATGCACACAACCAAAAGAAAGGATTATACGCACACAACCAAAAGAGCCTTAAATGGTTCATTTAAAAAAAATAGTACACAACACACACACAGAAACAACCTTCTCCAACAACAGAAAGTAGCCCACTAACTAGCTGGGTTTCATAACTTACCACCTTAAGTCAGCTTTGAAATACAAATTCAATAAAATAATTTTCAGTCAGTCCCTCATACAAATACTGAGACATAAAGACAGACGTATTTATAAATAAATGAGGGTTCTGATGCGTGCCTTGGGAACCACGTGCAGGCAAAGGACCATTCAGCTCAGCTTACCCTCCAGGAATGAGGAACTCTCATTGATGTATGCAGCCAGCTGCTCAAAGATGCCATTGATTTTCTTCTTTGCAGTGACAAAATGTTTGAGTGGAGAAGCATTTACCTCAGCCATGTGTCTTTTATCCTTCTTCACTGCAACTATTGATTTGGAACGAGTGAACAACAGGGACATTGCGCTGCAGGGAAAAAAAATCAGTAAGGAAAAGGGGGCTCACTGAGGCCTGACAGCCACACAACCAAGTGTCCAATATAATCATAGAATGATTGGGCTGGAAAGAACCTCAGATATCACCCAGTTCCAACGCCTGCCATGGGCTGGGTGCTCCCCACCAGCTCAGGCTGCCAGAGCCCATCCATGGCATTGTGCTCTCAATCCCACTGTCTACATCATTACAGTACATACACGTCTAAAATATATACTGAAAAAGGTGGGGTATCTACTGAGAGACAGGGAGACAGCCACCTAATGAGCAGACACCGACTGAAAACTACATAATACACAACCTAGAGATCATTCGACAGGAAATGATTTACTTCTCATGCTCAGACATCTAGAAAGAAAAAAGCCCACCTTACCTCCTCACTTCCACGGCACAGCCCACCAGGGATCCTTCCCTCCCGCCCCGCTTACTTTTCAGGATGTGTTTCGCTCTCACAAGCCGGACATGGTCAACTCGAGTCCCTCCGGAACGCGAACAGCTCCGTTTCTCCGTTTTCACCCTCAGCTCTTTCCGCCACGCCGAATCCACTCGTCCTCCCTGCGACAGAGGCGGACGGAGCGAGTAGGCCTCAAGCTCACAGAGCCCTCACAGAGCGGCGGGCGCGCGCCAAAAAAAAAAAAAAGGCGGGAAGCGCCTCGTCCCACGGCGCGGCCGCACCTCAGAACGGGCAGCGGCGCCCCTCCACCCCCACACTCATCCCTGGCGCCAACGCTCACCTTCACAGCCGCTCCCGCAGCGCCGCCATCTTAATCCGCGGCGCCGCCCCCTGGGCGGGCGTGCTGTGCCCCGGGGCGCTTCGGGAGCTGTAGTACCGAGGAACGGCCCCGCTAAAGAAACACAGCCACTGAGCGTTTTGGAATAGTTTAATGCGAATTTTTTTCCCCCTTCCCCCCCCATCCCGGTTGGAATCTGTTTGTGAAACGGCTCCGCGCGGATTCCGATCACAATGTCGGGCAGAGGAAAAGCACAACGAAATAAGTGGGGGAGGAAAAAAAAAAAAAAAAAAGCTAAATAAATACATACACCACGTTGATGCTTTCTCAACCATTACCCTAAGAAGTCCCTTCATTTGGTTATAGCATGAGGCGTTACGGGTTTCGGTTAGCGCGGATTTTTACCATTTTCAACTGTTTTTCTCCCCTGGGCACATGTGGGTGTGCAGCATTAAAGAGAGCCTAAAGAGCCCTCAGAACGCAGCCCTGTGGGTCCACCCCAATCCTGATGTGAACGGACCGCCTGTGAAACAAACCAGCCTTCAGACACAGAAGGGCGTCTAAAAAGCAGAGCAGGTCTCTCACAGGCGGCAATACAAAGGCTTCGCCCTGCTTCCCCTCCACCCACAGCTCTATTCTAGGCAGTTTTTTAGCCCTATTGGTTTGCCACAACCTCTCAGCGCTCACCAACCCATTTCTATTGGTCTCAACCCCACTGCAGTGGGGTGCTTTGGTTTGCAATCTCAAATAATAGAAATAACCAATAATGATTTCCTCTAAGTACCAAAAAATAGTTCTCCTACAGCCATGGCTCAAACAAGCTGGAAGCAAAAGGGAACTACCCAAATAATCACTGAGAAGTGGAACGAGGCCAAAGATCAGTGAGGCCTCAGGATTGTTATCTCACCATTAGAGCTTTTGAAGATCTCAACATGGATAGAGCTGATCTGAGCAGCAGTGAAGCCCTCGTGGCTGTTCAACTTGTTGTCAACCCTCCCCTTTGCCTGGCTTAGAATGCTCCCTTTAAACTGCGGTAACAGGAGTTAGGGAGGCTATATTTTTTTTATATATATATCTTCAGACTAATCCCAGAGATAATTAGTGGACCCTCATTAACTAACACAAAACAACTATACTGCCATTGCTGCTGCTTTGAACTCTGTGATGTGTTTCCAAAGACTGTGAAGAGGTAAGGATGCAGATGATCTTCAGGCTCTTACTACTGAGTTTCATCTGGTATGACATGTAGCTGTTATGACTCCTGGAGCCAGCTCCCTGATTGTTTATGTTTGGTATACTATCCAGAAATGATTTTCTAGTGTCCCGTATATGCTGTGGATATAAAAAAGAGATTCCAGCTACTTGGAGAGAAAGCTTGTGACTTGCTTCCAAAGAGCTGGATTTCCAGTCCAAGAAAGCATTTCTGTAAAGCCAACCAAGCCATGAAGGTTCAAGTAAATCGCATTTCCAAGACACAGCTGATGAAGAGCAGAATCAAAAATGAAGGCACAAAATCTCCTTCCAAATTCTACAGCAACATTCCTAGATATGACCTGCAGTATCAGAGAGGGAGATCTTCCAGTAGTGGAGTCTTAACATTGATTAAAAAAATCAATATCCAAATAGCTTTGATCAATGCCTTAGAAACTCTCTGCAGCATTCCCTGTTTCCACTCAAAGTCAGCAGTGAGCGGGGCCAGGGAAAGGTCCTTCCTGTGAAGCATGGCTCTAGGGGTCAATAAAAGACACTGCAATATAACGGGTTCCTTTGGTGGTTGGAAGACCTTCATGGTAGTGGGTGAGCCGTCCTGGATGCATCAGAGTCCAGCCTTTTCGTGGAGCTCGAATCGAGCAGTTGTAGCGCAAAAACCGGCAGCCTCCTCCCTGAGAGATACAGACCAAGAGACACATCAGCTTGGTTAAATCACCTAAGGAAATGGGTCTCTGCCTTCTCTTGGCAGCTCTTCAGAAAGTGCGAGAAGGGAGCTGGGGAATCCATTGTACCCTAACATGCTCAAAAGTCCCCTAACATAACCCAGTCGTTAACCACAGTCTTCAGTGTAAAGAAGCCAATAAGGAATGTTGTGCCTGGAAGGCTGTGCTTCATACCCAACACGCTGGCAAACTTACCTCATAGTCTATTCCAACCCTGTTCAGAGCAATGTTAATGGTAAAGGTGGAAGCATCATGATGGGGCATTAGAGAAGGCTGCTCATCAGGTTTGTAGCGGACCACAAAGGCTAGCTCAAACTGAGTCTGCAGGAGAGAAGAAAAGAGAGAGCATCTGTTGCAGAGCTGCAGTAGCTCGTGGTTACTGAGCTGTGGGATAAGGTGTCATTTGTAAATTGCACCTCACTGCTAAGAACAGCCACAATAACACAGGAAAGTGTTACTGGAAAACTGTATTTTCTGATGCATACACTTCAAGTCATAGTTCAGCATTAGTCCTCCATACCAGTAAACAGTACACATATTGCAAGAGGATTCTAGTAGCCCTTTCACACAGCTGCTATTGCAGCAGGTGCTGAGCTGACCACGAGTTTTGATGCCATGGTATTACCTACCTTGGTATAGTATCCCGGGTACAGTTTCTCAGTGATGGGTGCAATATAGTCCAGAAGAAACTTATACCATTCTCTTTCAAAGCCAATTTGGTTCATGTGGATATCAATAGTTGGGACATTCTCATATCCTCCTTGTATTCTACTGTCCTGAAATTGAATCACAAAAAAACCAATGAGGATGGGCACCTTGGACTTCACAAACAAAAAGCACTTTTTTTCTGGTAATTACCAATACATATGAAGTTCACTTATCAGGATTTTCAGCACAATAAGCTCATTTCAAACAATCATTAAACCCTGAAGGGCTGAACACTGTCACACTGGTGGACAGTATAAGGACTCAGAAAAGTTAATTAACATTCAAGAGCATGTGCAAAACCATGGAGTAAATTAAGGGGAAAATTAGCAGTATTGAGGCCAGTTTCCTGGTTTAGCTGCAGGATCTAAGGCCTTCCTAGAGGAGGTGCTACTGTCACCAAACATATAAGGACAAAGTTGTCACCTGGAAATTAAACAGCTCCTGTTTTTCTTACCGTATTGTCACCTGTGGACCACTTGCCATAATGCTCCATTTCTTCCACCAGCTCATCACAGGCAGTGTCAGTGAATATGGGGAACCAGTACACATCCGGGCAGGGCTGCAGAACGTGGACAGGTGAGAGCAGCAGAAATAAGGACAAGTGCTTGAGGCAAAAGGAATATGACTAAACTGACTGTATATAGGGTCAGATTAAGTGGAAAGAGACTACAACATCAAGGATAGAAGTTTGTCTTCTGATTGATGTGTCCTACTTCCACCTTACAGAGCTGGAGATGGACTTCCAGAATAATGATTTTGCTCTAAAAATACTTTCAAGGTCACGTTTCCTCTGCATTTGAACGACTACAAGGTCATGCTGAGCTGTGCAAATGACAACAGTGATAACACAAGTGTTCTCTCATTTTGATGGATACGAGCAATGTTTTCTTACCATTTCTACCAATTTCCCTTTCAGAGCTGCTGTGTAGTTTTCATGGATGTACTTTTCTCTCCAGTCCTACAATTAAAAGCAAAAAGTCACATCTGAGGGGCTTGGTTAGAAGGGCAAACAAAAGTCACGCGGTGGTGCCACAGTACTTCAAATGCTTTGAAAATCCAGATGTTATGAATCACACACAGTCTGGACCTTCCCTGTTGGTGAAGCTGGCCGTCAGATCTTCACATCCCACACAGCCTGCCAAGCCTGCAGAGCAGGCAGGTTATCTCACCTCAGGGTTGCTGAATATTTGCCAGAGGTCATTGTGGAGGTGACTTGTTTGGTAATTCTCCAGAGACAGTATGTGTCCAAACTGATGTCGATTTGTCAAGTACATGAAGACTCCCTGCAGAACAGAGAGAACAATCAAGTTTTGTTTTCACATCTCACATTTTTTGTGAGCAACTGTGAAATTAAAGCAGCGAACAATTTCCCAGTGATGATGGCTCTGCTCAAGTGCTCATCTCTTCCTTTTTTGCCTGTGGACTTTTCATTCTGGATATGATAAACTTTGAAGGGTTATAACCAGAGTTGGTAATTCTGTGCCTACCACCAGCCAGGGCTGAAAGCAGGTCAGCTGCTGTAAGATTTGGTTCTTTCTTCTTAACCCTGTTGTCCCTTTTTAGAACAGACCTGACTAGGCCCATGAACCAAAATTTTATCTGCATTTAGCAGTCCCTGGCTCTGTGTGGTTTCACAGCAAGACAGAAATCCTTTACTGTTCCAAGCCTGCACAGGATTCAGCAATGCTGCTTCATCCTGCCCCGTACCCCAACAGAGCTGAATGACTTGAAACCACTTAATCTTGTCACCTCCACACTGGTGTGCAGTTCTCCCCTGCCAGCATCCCCCTCCTCTACTGACCTGATTCCGCACGTTGTGGCAGAAAGCCATGTCAGCATCCAGCTTGCCACCGTGGAAGAGATCTCCCTCGTCAAGCTCCGATCGTAGGGCTTTACCTTTCACCATGTAAACACTGCTGATGTAGGGAACATTCCAGAGCCCACTGAAACACAGGGGTAGGATAGTGAGATTTGAAAGAGCAATAAGGCAGGAACTGTTGGGCTGGAAGGCAGATGGAAGGCGGCACCATCATGTCAGCAAGGCTTGCTGCAATGAGCCAACTTGGAATGGCAGGGAGAAACCGTGCCAACAGGAGTTGTCATTTCAGGAAAAATCATTTATATTGCCCAGAGCTTTGAAAGAGTAAAAATGCCAGGGCACTGTGAAAGCAATTGACTGATATTGTATGTTTCCGCATGGGACATAATTAATGTCTTGAATCTCTTCCCAGAGAGATCAACATAATTTTTTCCAATTATTTTAAAAAAACTGAACCAGCTGAGAAGGCATAATCTGATTTCCAGCATTTATTGCCCCAAAAAAGGCCCCTCAAGAATATGAGTGAACCAACAATTGTACTTTGTGAATATTCCATTCATCTAGATCACCTAGAGTATTATGAAGACAATCTAACAAAAATTAAACAGCTTTGTATGAGGTTTTACAGACTAATTGTAATCCACAGGTGGGAAAACACATGACTGTGGTGATTTCAGCATATTTAGGGCTCTCTACATCTTACTCAGCTCATAATAAAATCTGCATGAAATCTGTGCTTAGGGAAGAACAATGAGCAGCTTCTATGAAGGGGTTCAGACTTCCTTCCCTCTTCTATGCCCCAAGGCAATTATGTTCCCTGGTTTGATGATAATGTGCACCAGCTTTGTACCTGAGGGAGTGCATCAGTAAGAAACTTGCTGTATACTCACACCCTCCTCCTTTGAACAATATCCACGTAATCTTCTGAGCGGGCATAATACCCATCAGGGCTCAGTGCTCCCCAGAAATTTGACCACAGCTTCTCATGACGACTCACCAGGGGTGCAATCACCGACCTGCGAGTGCAAAAGAAAAGTGATGTTACCACAGGAAGTGAAGGAAAAGATTTACAAACCACAGGATACTGAGAGGCAGATTATCTTTCACTAGCAGCTTCTATTAACTATACTGGAATAAAATTCTGCATAAGCAAATGTAAAAAAAAAAATTTACAATCTCGTATCTAACTGCACCCAGCAGGAATCTTAGAATCCAGTTTATTACAGTGACTACTTAAAGGCAAACTTGGGATGATTTACATCCATTACCTAAACTCAGTCACTGCAACTGCAGCAAAAAAGGACCAAACAAAGGCATACATCTGACATTTCATCTCCAGCACAGCTCACCTAGCGGCCTTACATGTCTCACTGATAAAGGAGCTCGTGTACTCCTTTGTGAAAGATGGCTTAATGACTGCTCTGACCAATGAACTCACTTGTTCTGCTCAATGAGAATCCTTAGCGTCTCCGTGTTCTTCAGAACTACTTCAGCATCCAGGCTAAAATAATAGTCACAGTCAGGATCCTTTCTGCACAAATCCCTGTAGCCAGAGAACAAGAAAAGTCACATCAACATCCACCTAGAACAGAGTAAGACAAGAGACAGAACAGTAGGACCTTGTATTCTAAGGGTCTTTCTCTAGGTGTTAGGAAAGTGAGTTTAATGTAACAACCCAGACAGCCAGCATTGTAAAAGGACATTCACTTCAGAAGCCAACAGCACACGGTGAAATGCAGTGAGTATCAAACTTAGCCAATTGTTTCCACAGCACAGGCTGAGTAGATTCCCATTTATGGTTGGCCCAATTCCTGGCCCTAGTTCAAACTCGTATCTCCTGATCACCAGTCCCTACCTTTACTACTACACTCCTCTTCTTTACAGATATGGGTGCATACTCTTTATGTGTAGGACTTGGCATAGAGATTGCTGAAGATTAGAAGTGAAGGGTTATCCTCCTAACAGAGCAAGCACCCAGCAAGAATTTGGTTTCTAAAACTGAAGGAATGGGGCAGATCTTTTTCCCACATTGTATAATGGGCATGGAGAATTAATGCTAGAAAAACTGAAAGAAGAGAGTAATTGAAAGACATAAAACATCCCGCTGACAGTGATGCTCCTCAGAAAAACCCTAGTCTGGACACAGACTGATGCTGCTAGATGTCATGCCTGGTCTCTTCACTTACATGCCCAAGTTACGCGCCTCAGCATTCTCCACCTCATCATCTGGTCCAATCACTTTCATAGCAAGATATTCTTTGCTGTGCTCCTTAACAAAAGAGTCCACTTGCATTGAATGGTGTTGCTCCTATGGAAGAGAAAAAAAAATAAGGACAAGAAGGTGAGATGAACTCATCTCAGACTGTTCAACATCCCGTTCCTGTGAATGTCAAAGCAGACAAGCAACAGCTCTTCCCATTTCCACATTTTTACAGCTGGATGCATCCATTATGCAGATGAGTACAGGGATTGCAAAGCCTGGCAGGGTAGTCAAAGGCTGCAAAGGTGACCAGAGAACAGGAAGAAGTACACATTTTCCCAGCACTTGCTAAGACTATCACAGGCCAACTTCACTTACGTGGTTGTGAATGAAGATTTGAATTCGTTGCTTTGGGTAACGGAGATTACGAAGCCGCAAGAAAAACTGGGAGAGAAACGGGGTGGGCTGCTCGATGAAAATGCCAATCAGAATCATTGGCAGATCCTCATCCTACATTCAGTGAGAAGAAACATCAGATACATAAGATTCCACTGCAGCTGTAACACCTATCTTGAGAGCTTGGAATAGACATCAGCCTTACCTTAACACCTGTGAGGCTGCGCAGACCTTCGTCACACACAGTACAGCCAGTCTCAAATGTCCATATTTGAGGAATATAGTTTCCTAAGTAGTTCAGCTGCAGCTGCAAAGGGGATTTGTCATGTTAAACATTAGAGGACAGAGGAAAATCTTTGCCTCTGTAGGTTTCAAAGATCACACTTCGGCAGAACTTCATTTCTGTTTTCCTTGGACTAACAAACCTAGATTTTGACAGTCTCTGGGCCCAACTGCACATCAACCTTTGAACCAGACCCATCTTGCTGCTATGGGCCTGGGGCACTTATTGTCTCTCAGTGTAAATGTGCACAGTGAAAGTCATTATATGGGAAAGCACCAACCTGATATAAACAAGTCTAAAGGGTTACTTTGGAACAAATACATACCAAATCTTCTTAGGATTCCCACTTACCTTGGTGGGCCCATTTCCATGAATTATTACAGGCAGAGTGTCATATAACAAGTTTCTTGCTCTCACTCGTGCATTTTCAAACTTCAGAACCACCTCATCTGGAAATGACATTGTCATCATGTTATCAGAAGAAGGATTTATAAAAATTAGCAGCACCATACCCCATTTCTACTCAGCAACTGATGACAGATGATAGCATAGACCTGGATTCTGTGAAGCTGGACAAAGAATGGAGCTCGCTGGCTGATGATCACACCTTCTACTGGGAAGCCACGCTTTAACAGTCTTTCAAAACAGGCACTGACAAACTCCAAAGTTAGGAACAGCTACTGAGGACCAGTGAGGATTCAGAGCCTTCTCACCTCTGTGCACTCTGCACCTGCTGCCTCTCTTTTTCAGCCCAGACAGAATTCTGCCCTCCTGGCAGTTATCACTCAATGTATCTCCTCAGTGCAATCACACAAAATTCTTTGCAAAACAGGCTAAGCAAGCACGGATCCAAGCTCTAGTCTTGCTGCTATCATGAGCACAGAAGCAAAAAATATAACACTGTCGTTTTCATTTTTCACCTGACTGAAACAAAGATGGACTGGTGCAAGATAATAAACTCAAAACATTTGGCAGTAATCTCAGTATAATAACTTAATCACTTTGACACCAACTGGCAAAATCAATCAGCTGATCAGAAACCTGTTATGGGTCAAGTGCATGCTCACAGGCTGTATCTGGATTCATCTCACCTTTTATGGCATTCCAGACATTGTTCTGAAGCAGAAAGACAAGGCAAGCCCTAGGCAGTGCTGTGTGCTGTTACTTGCAGCAAAGTGCCTCCCATTTTCAATCTCTAAGGCTAATGCAATCCGACATGCTTGGAGATCAAAGTGGCAAGGAGGGGTAAGATGGACAATTTGACCTGCATTCCCCAAGTGAAAAGGGAAATGCAGTGAGAATCTAGTTGGTTACACTGGAACTGCAAATTAATTCCAGAATTCTGCAGAGGCTTTTTGCTGGGGCTTGTTCTGCAGGGACAGGAATTTCTGAAACTTAATCCCTTCAGCCACAAGACAAATTTATTTCTGGTGTCAGCACGCAGCTGCATTCCAAGGAGAAATGAGCTTCCTCCCATCTCACCTAATGCTCCATTTAGGTTTTGGAAGATCCGACTTCTATGGTCTAGACTGATGTTGATGTTTTCCTTTAAAAGAATGAGATGCATAAGCTTAATTAGAACATTAGCAGTCATCTGTTCTCCACATGTGAGAAACTTTATGCAGAACAAAGATATATCATATTTCTATAATTATTTCCATACTTCCCAAGCTTGAAGCCTGAAACATTCCCAGATCATCCTTATTTTCAGTTGAAACTGAGAAAATTCACCATTTTTGAGAACTTCAACACATTATATTCAGCAAAACCATACAAACAAACATTTTAAATACTAATCTGTCTGTGCCACTAACAATATGCAGTAAGTACACTTGCAGCACGGTCACATAAAATCCACGTGTAATATGCAGGAATGCCAAGACAACAAAAACATCTGCTGTCTAGACAGTTTCTTGCCATCTATCCTCAGGTAAGGACTCAGACACCATTGTCAAACCAGAACATAAGAGTGCAAGCCCAGGCTGAGCAATCTTTGTTTTACCCCCTGCTACAAATCGCACTTGGATTAGATTTTTGTTGGACTAAAAAACTCAGCTCTGACTTAGCAGAGCTCAGTGTCCCTGCAGGCATTTATAAAGACTGATTACTGGAAAGGACAGCAGGGTGCTAACATCCGCTGTCTTGAATGCCAAGCTAGTGGAATTAGTCAGCCTTTGTATGGCATAGGGCCAGAAATGCAGATGAGAATATTAAAGGGGCTGCCCAAATGTGCACGTTAAAACGGCATGAGTCACATTCAGATTTGGGGAGGTAAAAAAAAAAAAAAAGAAGTACAGCTACTCCAGCTGATCTGAAAGCACCTTCTTATTTCTAAAGGTTCCTCTTGACTTCACTGTTACAGTTGCACTTAATTCCCATTTGTGACTTCCCTCCGCGACAGCTGACACTGCATAAGGCACAGCAAGGACAACAGAAGCTAAAGCCAGGACACAGGGCTTTTCCTTTCAAAGCTTTCCCAAGGGTGTAGCTGCTACAATGCTAATTTTTGTAAGGAAAACAGATAACTGACATCCTACTGGCCTTTTCCATGCAATAATGTCAGAACAATAATTCTGGGGCAACGTGCACCTGACTTTTAAACTTGACTTTTAAAATCAACAGGGATACCAGAGGAAAAGCTTAACGACACATACTCTTTTTTCTGGATCCAAAAAGATCTTGGTGTAGAAGAGCTGGTCACTGTCATCATCCTTTCCTTTCCATTCCTCTACAAGTTTTTTCAGGTTCGGAGCATAACCTATGAAGCCTGCAGGAACAAAAATAGAGAGGTATTTCAACGCAAGTCCTTAGAAAAACTGAGGACTTCTGCATACCATACTCTCACTTTGTTTCACACACAAGTCTCATTCCACCCTGTGATGCAGCAGTTACACCAGCTTTCAGCAGAAGCATGTACAGACCACACTTCCCAACACTTCCCTGAAATTAAACCAGGACCAAACAGAAAAGCTCAGCTATCTCCTGAATAACACCTCACAGCCAAAGCAAAGACAGTGAGCAGCTTCCTATCCTTCAGATATAATTCATAGCTGTGTCTCCTCCTGTAAGTAAAAGACATCAGCACTGTTAGGCATTCCATTGCGAGTATTTATGCCCTGATTTCAGTTCCCAACATCTTCTACAGAGATGCTTTCCACATTTGATTCCTTGATACTTCTCCTGAAAGCCTTCTAAAAAAGGGCAAAGTGATTTTTGGCTAAAAGAAGGTTCTGATTCTTACCTCCAGAACCCAGGAAGCGCTTTCCATCTCGCACCGGAGGGTACTTGGCTTCCAACTTTCTGTCAGGATAGATGTAGTTCTCTGCTGAGAAGACCACCTTGCTCTTGGCTTGTTTGAACTTCTTCAGCAGTTCTGTGGGGCCCGATGCAAAGAGTACATCATAGCTAGAGTAAAAGACAAACCAAGAAAGGGACAGAAAGGAATGGAGTTAGAAAAACATGCCAGTACAAAAAGCTTCTAGGAACAGCTGATTTATCTGGAATCCCCTTCTTTTAGTTCTGCTTCACAGTATTATATTTTTGTCATAATTACAGATAATTGAATTGAAGTCTTATTCATACAGGGGAAGATGTTACTTTCCACTGGAGAAGATTCCACAACATCTTGGGGTAACTTACACCCATGCTTACAAAGTTTTCACTGATAATAAAACCAAAACTTCCAAGTCACAAAACATGCAGATGTGTTCTCTTCCCCATTTTGCAACTGTGAAGCCCTGGTGCCTTCACTCATTAAGGTTTATTCTGCCATTCCTTTATAAGCACACTCCTTTCTAAACTAAATAAATCCATAGGTTATGCCTTTTAAATCTTTTGGCATCCTGCCATTCTCCACAGAGCTCTGCAGATCTTCAAAAGGGATCTACAGTACACAACAGTCACTGCATGCTGGACTCTAGCTGCTCTCTCTTCAGTACTGCATAAAGCTCACTAATTCCCAAGCAACACTCACAGAATGAGACTTGAGTTTTCAGCAAGAGGATTTGCAAACTACAAACCCACTCTTGGTGAGGAACAACATTCTGAATTCCAGAGATGAATCATTCTCAACCTCTAAATGCACGTAGACACTCACTGATCTCCCTGCCATGGGAGCTGGAGACAGATGCCAGTATCGCAGCCCAGCCTGTTGCTGGGCACAGAAAAAGACACTGAGACTACAAACAATTCTTTTTCTCTTTCACATATCTCTGGCAGACTAATCTCTGGCTGTCAGGATTCAAAAAAATAATAATTCCACTAAAGGAATCCAGAGAAATTGCCCATTCTCGGAAATACGAGCAGCCAAATTCCACCCTGGCAAAAAAGCAGGTATAATACTATCTTATTTTGTATTATACAAGAGTTGGGATCAGCCCATTTTGGTCAGACCTTCCCAACCGCCACGAATGCAGCTCTGAGCAACTCTCAGGTGACTGCAAAGAATTCAGGTGGATAAAATACAGACCTACACACACTTTCCAGAAGCAATCTACTTTACAGTTAATTTCTTCTGTCCAAACAACCATCTGATTCATTTAATGACAAATAATTTCTGATCCATTACCTTTCTGTGAAAAGGATGATCAAGTCTTCCTTATCTGCATGCTGCTTCAAAGCCGATTTCAAGAGACGGACCTTCTGTCCACCTCCTGCTGGCTTCTTGTCATCTCCACCCCTCCACTCCTCATCCAGCCCAAGCACCTGAGGATGACAGACAGGGTATCCTCAACAGGCCAGCAATGCTCAGCAATTTCCCAGCAAGGATCACAAGAAAGAACCCAAATTAATAGCTTCACCTGTCCTGTTAAAGCCCAGCACAAAACCAGGAGCACCAGGACAGACAGACTAGGCATACATGTCAGCCTTGGAACTACTCTATGAGATGGACAGTCAGAGTAGCATGCAGCACAGTAACAGAGCACTTTCAGTACCAGGGATGGGAGCATCCTAATCTGTACTGTGCTTCAGAAATGTAACAGAAAAGTGTCACAGAGCTCCAATGAGCAGCAATTACAGACCTCATCTCAAGCCACCACTGGGGATGGAATAAGAATGCTGCACAAATGTCCACAGTGGCAGCATTTTTCAGCTGAGGAGTTATGTCCACTCCTAAGATTTGTTCGTTTTATGGCCAACTCCTAACCACTCCACACTCTTAGGAGTGCCTATTTGAAAACCTGCTTTACCAACCACCAGCGAGGCTGCTGGCCATCACCTGGATTTTGTAGTTGAAGAACTGGGCTGATCTTCTAAAGCGTCGAAATCCCTCGGTCTGCTTGGTGGCAACAGTCAGAACCAGCAGGTTTTCTGCATGCAGGAGAAAACACAGGAGACACTTCATCAACTTGCACTGTTCTCAAAACCTGCTGTTCTATAGTTAACAAAAATGCTTTACTCTCACAACACCAAGCTAAGGTAGGGATCATTAGTCTTAAAGGCAATTCACAGCTTCGACAACAGGAAGTCAACAGGAGCACAATCCAACCACTGGACTTTCCCAGCACCATCCTTTAAGCTGGTCATGAATCCAGCAATAGAATCCAGGAGTCCCAATCTCCGCTCTGTCACTGCTGTTGGTGGACAAAGGTTATGTCTGCTCTGTACAACACGGATAGCTGCCCAGTTCCATTTTAAAACAGGCAAGGGAGGTAGCCTAGCTGTGGAGCTTCCACATCCTGCTGAGAAGCAAACAGCTTGCCTACACCTCCCCAATTATCTCTACCCTGCACAACGCTAAGCGCTAGAGGTGTTCTCACTGCCCACAAAGCTTCGGCCCCAGAAAGAAAACAGCTGCAAATTCTACTTATTTGCTGCCTGGATTTTCTTGGCAGCAACTCATATCAGAGACTCAGAGAGAAGGGGAAAAAAAAAAAAAAAGGCAAGCATGGATGTAGCTATTGTTTTACTGGAGGAACAAACTATCGTAGGGGACAGAACATGGCAAAGGTGCCCAGAAACGTCAGCATTTGATGGAACAACCCCAAACTAGCTGCAGTGCAAGCAAGACTGTTTTTCTGCTTTTGTATTTGTGCAGCTCAGATCAGAACTTGATCCTGAGTATAAAAGGGGAGATGGTATAAAGATACAATTTCATTGCCCAAATAATGAGATGGAAAAAGAAAATGTAATGTACGGAGCGGGGTTTTTGCGCTGCTTTGGAAAGCTAGAATTCTATTCCTTCACAGAGAATTTGGAGGAGAAACAGTAGAACCACTGTAAGATGCCCACTTGGAAGTCACCCATTCAGTGCAACTGGCTTCCTGCTCCCCACAGAGCTGATGTGTTGTCAGTCAGCATTGACTGGGTACAGAAAAACCAAAGTTCTGCTGAGTGTCATTATTCCCCCCTGTGGATGTTCCAGTTTCTTACTGCACTCCAGAGGCATTTTCCAAATTTTTTTCATAGAATGAATTTAATTCTGCCATCGCTTTCATCTACATTCTCCTCCCAAATTGGTTTCTCATTTCCAGTCCCTTAGAAATGACAAAGCTAAATCCTAAAGTTCTCCTCCAAAAGTTTCTCCAGTGTACCACTGAAATATGATTTTTTGTGGAGGCCCTCGTTTCTTAATTGTAATGACTAAATGCTATATTTCATCTTCATACTTTCACTTAAGCAGGAATTTGTATAGGCTCTGGCAACAGTGTTTGAATATGAATCCTGACCATCTGATTTTAACATCAGAGAATACTAAGAAATTCTGAAATTCTGTTTTCTTGGCTTGAGCGGGCTTCTCTTGGAATGATGATCCTTTCAATGGATCTACCAGATGAACCAGTGCACCCAAACTGATACTGACTGACCTTAGAGAGGAAGGATCCAAGAAGGATCCCAGGCAGACCTGACAAAGTCAGCAAAAGTTAAAAACAAGGTAGAAACTGCTGATTAGGATGAAAGAGAATAGTCCCAAAGAAATTCCTAAAACCTTTTACCTGCATCAGAACACGGAGAGACTGAGAACAGCCAACAGAGAGGTCAGATCTGATTGCATCTCTTTAGTTGTCTATGCACAAAGGGAGTGATAAAAGAAAACGAGTCTTGCATAAGCACAACTTTAAAGGCAGATTTTTAGCTGTATGAAGTGCATTCCTAATTCAGCTCCTGCAGCACACTGCAGTCCTACGCGCCCTGCTCAGTCACAGGGTGCAAACAAATGAGTAAAATATGTATTTCCTTGGGGAATGTGTTAAAGCCATTGGCGTTTCTAGCTACATGATGGCATGAAGAAAACCATGGCACCTTTACTAGCTCTGAGCTTGCAGTTTCTGAGAAAATCTCTCATAGTGCCAACGAGGAGAGGAGCAAACGCGGGCTTGTCAAAAAGGAATGTCAAGACAAACATCAGACCTGAAAGGAGAGGAGAAAGCATATCACGGGATAGCAGAAAACAGCCTGACTGCCACGTAACTAGTTTGGCCTAAACGCTCAGGTACCTCCAATTAAATAAACCAATAATGTATTTTTTGTGCCACCACACCAGAAAGCAACCAACTGCTTATATGTTGCTCAATAGCAGTGCCAAAAGTTTGCTGGAGCAGAAGCCAGAGCAGAAAGCTCCCCTGGATGCACAGGAAGCGGTGTCGTATTTCTAAGACAGAAAAGGTTTTGCTGTGCAGCATGAGAAGCCACTGGTGCATGGAGAGCCAGCACAGTCTCTGCTACCCTCTGCTCCTAGTTACAGATCCCCTTCTCCTTGCTGTTCTGGGGGTACAACTCGAAGAGACATTCAGCTCAGTTTCTCTTCCGAGCAATCTCTGCAGTAGCAAAAGCTTTTCATCCCAAGTGACATTCCTTCAGCCCAGTGTTTGAGACGCTGTGCTGAGTTATGCTGCCTCCACTCCTACTCATTTAACCCTTTTTTCTCTTTCCTAATGATTTTGGTGCAGCTGACCACAGACAGAGCGAGCCCTTTTCGTTCTACCATCACATAGAGGGACTTTGAAACCTCCAAAAAGCAGCCTCGTGCTTCCCCATTTTCCACATAACAGTTAATTTTCACACCCAGAAGTGACACCTATTCTGTTAAGCTGCACCCAAAGACTTTTCAGGCCACACTGGCAATTAGAAATACATTTAATAATGGTACAACTGCAAAATACAAACACAGTGTGGTTCAAGGCAGGACGTGCTGGACTAGGAAGCGGGGCAGCTGGACTGTACAACACTCTGCAACAAGGAACCAGTCTTGCTGTCCCTCTACTTTGCCATCTGTAAAAGGATAACAAAGGACACTCAACACTTCTGTTGTTTGAGCACTACAGATGCTAATCATTCCAAAGGAACAAAGTCTTAGTAAGGAAAGTCTGATATCGACATCACTGTGAAATGATTGGGGTGGGCTTCTGAGTTTTACAGGCTTAGAAAAAATCAGCGACGAGTTCAGCGACAAGAAATTGTACAGTTGTTTATTTCTGCCCTGACTCTACAGGGAGAGCACAGCTGCAGTTCAGGACATGCAATGAGTTTATCCCCAGGCTACACTTCGTGAAAACTCATTGTGCAGCTTCCTGTAAAGATGGTGTCCAAGAAAATACTTTTAGTACTGGGATCAAATAGAAAAACCAAGTGCACAATTTCATGAAATATCCATTTCCCAAAGTTTTTAGGCAACAGTCCAACTGAAAACTACAAATAACTAAGCTTGAAGCTTCTGAAGAGATTTAAAAAAACTTATCAGGGAGAAGACAGGTATCGCTATTCTCGCATTGCTCTGGGGAAGCTGAGGCACAGACATGGCAAGGCATTTTTTCTGAACCCATCAGAAAACAAGAAATTCCAACACTCTCTTCCTAAACACACCTCACTATCTATTCCCAGCACCATTTAATATCGGTGCATTCCAAGAACTTGCTAAAAGCCCAGATGCCGAGAGGTGCGTAGGGAAAGCAGGATGACACCAGGAAGCATTTCTCACTTGCGTTTGGCTAACATTTATCCTAACTGCTGCAGTGACACTGCTTGCATTGTGCTGCTACAGCTACAGCACTCCCAGCCCTCCAGGGGTTCATATTAAACACATTAAGGGAAATATTCTAGGTAACAAGATGAAATCTTCACTGCCACTTCTCTAATGAAGACAGAGATAATTATCCAAACATCTTGGCAGAGTGACAATGTGTGAATCTCTTTGTCAGTCTGGCTGACACTCAATGGCTTCCCTAATTCCCCACTGTTGTACCAATTACTCCTCAGAGCGTGCACATGGATGGATACAAGGATGTTTTAGGAGCACCGCGGATCTCATGGTGAGATCTCAGGGTTCTCATGGCCAGTCTAAGGATCAAAATGCTCCGCTGCCTAATTTTTGACCTGTGTAAGTTCAAAAGCCGCAAGGGCTGACCCAGCTGGGATGCAACCACGGAACTTTACCAACCCGAAATGTTATTCTAGGCTCTCCTCACACAACTCTGAGCAGCCAGTGCCTGTCTGATAACTGAGGCACCCAGGAAGCACGTGCAGACAGCACCCACCGCAGCTGGTACTCAGGGCTCAGCACCAAGCTCTGGGTGCCACCCAGGAACTCAGATAACGCAGTAAGCATTGGCAATGCCTCTGAGCTGCCCTGGGAAGCTGCGGGCGGTACCGGCACCACCAGCAGGGCTGCCCCGCCACTAACCCGGCCTCCAGCTCCCAGTGCAGCCCTCTCCAACCCGCAGCCCCCCTTCCCCCTTACCTTCCTGCTTAGAGCCGCCGCCACCCTGCACCCCGAGCAGCGGCAGCACCACCCAGGGCAGCAGCACCGCCGGGGGCACCATGGAGGCGACTTCCCCGCCTGGATCCCGCTACGGAAACCGACACCGACCGCGGGCGCTGCCTACGGGACGGCTTTCAGGCTCTGCCCCGCTGCGCACAGACCCAGCCGGAGCCTCTGCCACGCACCAGACCCGCCCGGCGGGGACGGGCGGAGGAAGAGGGGAGGGGGGGGTGAAGCGGCTCCTCCTCCCCGCTCCGGCCCCCGCAAGAGGCGCGGAGGCAGCTGGGCCGGAGCCGGGAGAGGCAGCAGGAAGCGCTGGGGCCGAGGGTTGTGCGAAGCGAGAGCAATGCGGGTTGTACAGCCGCGCTGATTTCACGTGGGGTTCGCGGAGCGCTGCTCAGCCGTGCGGCAACCGAGTGTAGTAAGCGTTAATGAAACACGTTCAGCCAGCGCGGGGAAGCGGGAGCTGATGTTCGGCAGGCTTCAGTCTGTGCTGGGCTGAGCTTCGCACAGTCATTAAGCGTTAAAAAATGCACTGCAGAAATTAGGCACAGCTCGGGGCGCTGGAAGCCGTTACTAAATGCCCTCCTTTCATCTGGCATCTCATCCGTTT